TGTTTATCATTTGGTTTTGAAGGTTGGTGGTTAGATGGACTTGTTCATCTAAAGTGCATGTGTTTTCCCCCAGTGAACATGACTTGGGTGAGGATGACATCTATGACTGTGTGCCATGCGAGGATGATGGGGATGACATCTATGAGGACATCATTAAAGTGGAAGTACGACAACCCATGGTGAGAACTCTGCCCTGTTTGATCACTAAGGACTTTTTTTCTTTTCACAATTACTGATTGCGTTTTTTTTTTTAATTAATATACTGTACAAATGTGCTTCGTGAAGGTCTATGACTAAATCACTGCAACTCTCCCCAGAATTTTCTTTTGCATGATATCATTTTACCATAACGAATTGCATTACAGGAATGCAATGAACTAATAGTGCCAGAGGAAACACCCCCACTCACTTTTAACTAGCTTTAGATTATTTCTGTGCTCAGCCTTGTCATTGTCGTACGGTATCTGCATGACATCGTGTCTCTAAACTCAACTGTAGCAGATGTCTCTTTCATAATCAGTGACAAATCTTTACTTCTGACTTGCTCTGCTTTTCTCATGCTGCAGATCAGATACATGCAGGTGAGTGCCACTGTGCTTGTGACTCACAACACCCTGTCAGCAAATTCCCTCCACCACCTTATTTAAAACCAACTCCTAGCATCCCAAGAGAAAGATCTGCCAATTAAGTTACTGACCATGGGACCGATGGTGAACGATACCCCATCTGGTTCAGTCTGACTCAGAGCTAGTGACTTCACCTCTGTGACTGCAGTGCTGACTTCAGCTAGCATCGCCAGCTGCCACACTAAAGCAAATAAACAATATGCTGCTGGCTTTGAACCCTACTTCTCGGATTGGTTGATCCTGTGCTGGCCTAAGGCCTGGACTTGTGTTTTTGCATTGTTAGTGCCAGTTTTCGTATTACCAGCACTGGTTATTAACAGCCAGATCTGCTCCAGATGGCTTAGCTATTAATTCCTCAGGGTGCTCATAATCATACTACAACATAAAAAATCTATGGAAACAAAGCCTATGTGTGTGGGTGTGTTTCGCCATGATCAACAGGGTTTCTCACTTACAGTATACTGTTCTTTCAACAAAGCATGCACATACATACACATCTGAAGATGGAGACATCAGGCCTTCTGTAGAAGTTTGACTCTTTTTCACATCTTAACCTGGCTCCATCACAGCATGCCTGCTTGCAATGTTTTGCCTTGACAATGTTGGATTCATGTCCATTTCTTTACACATGTCTTCTTAAACCAGCTAACCCACACATACAGTGACGCTCAAAAACTCATTATTTTGCATCCTTCTGTCATAGCCAGTGTCATCACCATCTCTAGCCATGGTACCAGCTGTGCTAAATATTTAGATTTAATTTATCTTTGACATAATCAGATACATTAAAAAAAATCATTCCCAGAAGGATGATTCTGTTCATCTGGATGTATAGCTTTCAGTGGGAGAAATGTTTCATCACTCATCCAGTCTCAGCTGACTGCAGGTTTCCCCAACCCTATGAACTATAGTTGCATAACCACTGTTTGTAAAGTTGAGGAAACCTGTGGGGAAAACTATGTTCAGCTGTGTGCAGTTGAACAGAATCACTTCTCTGGATTATCGAGCATGTATCCAAACATGTCTAATTTTACATATATTTCTGCTTGTTTTAGCAGAAAAACAACAATAATTGGGTGTTAGATTTTTTTTTTTTTTTTTGGGGGGGGGGGGGGTTAGATTTGTTCCTACTGTCTCAGCTTTTAAAAAATTTCTTAAGTGTGGAAAAATTGGCTACATAAAAAAGATGTTGATGATGAAGGGTGGATCATCCTGGCAAAGGAAAGCACAGCTGACTATAAGTTGTGTAAACTGTCAGATGAAGTCTAAATTCATTTTGTCAGTATTTCATTATGTTTGCAGAGTAAAGGAGTTTACATGCAAATTGACTAAAAGTGACTGTATTGGAAGACTGCACTGCATTATCTCTTGCTGATAACGCAAGTCGACAGCCTTGATGGATTACACGACACAAACACTTTGTCATAAGTCTGCTAATAGCTTTCCATACAGTTGGGAATTCATAAAAACAACAGTCAGCTCTTATAGCAGTAGTGTTATACAAAAATTTCTAAAAAAAAAAAAACTGTTGCAGAATTTGACTGAAACATCAAAACATTGTGTGGTCCTTTAAATTGCAAACTAGTGATGCAAACTAGTGATGCTGACCCTGTTATTTTAGCCTTTAATGCCTTTTATTTTAGCCTCTTAGTAACATATAAAAAAATAATCACTGAAACAATTAGCAATATATAACTGTTCAAAGTGACCGTCGTCACTGATTATTTTATCTGATTCTCACTGCAGAAAATGGGTATGACAGAAGATGACAAGAGAAACTGCTGCTTAGTGGAGATCCAGGAAACTGAAGCAAAGTACTACAAGACTTTAGAGGACATTGAGAAGGTGAGTTTACGAATACAGCTTTATTTGAGTTTCTGATAAGCGTGCATTTTCCCATAGGCACAACCATGCAGTGCTTGAATTTTCCTTTGTCACTTCTTTGTTGGTGGTTCAGACCTTTGGGCCGGGTCACAGCATGGAAATGTCATATATATTTGAACACAAATGTCATGGACTTAGATCAATATGATTATTATTATCTCAGCTTTCAAGGATGACACTGATCCCTAAGCCTTTAAGTACACATCACATATGAGAGAACATACTCTATATGTGTCGGGAAAAAATAAATATTTCTGAAATAATTAATGATAAAATTTGTTTATATGCATGCTTCTCCACCCACCTTAAAGGCGTTTTACTCTTTGTGTGTTGAAGTTTATCACAGGTGATTGTTCTTACTCCACACAGTATTTGTATGAAAGAGTGTAACAATCATCTCTGGCAAAGAGAAGGGAGCAGCGTCGGATTATATTTATTCACAAGGCTCTGCTGCAAAGATTGCCTGCTCTGTGATTACATTTAAACACAGTAATTATATCAGGTCATTGTAACATTAGCTGTGACTTATTCACATCAAGCTTAGAAGAACTGATTAATACTTTGCTGCCTACAAAGGGAATATACTACAATAAAAGTGAAGCTATTCATTTTTATTAATTTTAGTTTTTATTTTACTTTTATTTTATTCACTTATTCCACTAGAACTTTTTAAAAGGTTATATTTATTTTTCTGCACTTACCCTTGAACACTATTTTCTTATTGTCTGTAGTGCTGTGCAGCAATCTTGAGTCACTTTCATTGCTTTACATTTTCTTTGCAGGGAGCCAGACTATTGTTTCATTTTTTTTCAATTTTGTTTCTTTTATGTGTGTGTGGTTTTTTTTTTACTGGTCTTCAGCAACAGGTCTTGAGGTTTTTCTGCAAGTGTTTCTTCTTTGGACAGTCGCTGTCTTATGGGTTTTTTTTTGTCTTTTTCAGTGATGTTTTTAGTACAGTCCTTTTAGCTGACTGACTTTCAAAATAATTTGAATAGTTATTTAAGTCACTTAAACGACTAAAGCAAAAAATAGTTCAGGCATTAAAAAGACACCTAACTCGAGAACCACATAACAGAAAAACTTGGCAAAAAACTGGTTTAAAATGATATCTTTAGGCATTTTGTTAATAGTAATCTAGAAAAACTAGTAAACAATATCAAAAAAGAACCACATTAAAAAAAAAATAAAAAATGAAACCTAATAAAACCTAAATAACAAAAGAGAGGCCAGGAGGCCTAACTGAGAAAGAAACGTTTTTAACTACTTTAAATGTCTTGCAAGAAGCCCTGAGAACATCCTAAACACTAAAAGAATTACAAGAAAGCTTTTCTAAGAGAGTTCTGTCTGTCTTGAATTATAAATTTGGCCATACCAAATACTGGCTTTCAAATTCAGCAGAATTGTACAAACCTTGTTTTTCCCCTATATTCTATATTTCCGTTTATGTTTGTGTGTTTCAATAAATCACTACGCTTATTTTGGATTTTTCTAACAAAATATAAAAAAGTGGATTCAAGACTTTTTCACATTACTGTATAATGTGTCTTTGTGGTACGTGTCTGTCTGTCTGACTAATTAAAATAATAATAATAATATTTAGCAGATGTAACACAGAAAGCTAGAAACAGCCGTGACTCTCTCCCTGCTGACACAGTTTCTTTAATTGAGTTAGCACATTTAAAACATTCACTTTTCACGCTACATTCACGTAATTGTAGCACAATTGGTCACAATTCATTTTAGCTTATTAGGGAATGACATTGAAACATTCTCACAGTTATCCAGGACTAAAGTCTCTGTGTGTCTTCTGAATATGAGCCGTGAAGTTTGCTGTTGCAGAAAGGAGATTTAGCACAGGACACACAACATTTTACAAAATGGTATGATTACCGTTTACCGAGAAAATCAAAAACAAACATTCTGTCTATAACAACAAATTGTCTGTGCTCAAAGACTCAGATCCTCACACGTGCACACAAACTCGCGCGTACGTTTGAGCTTTCACGGTGTAGTAATAAACCATCGCTGAGATCGGTGCTGCTATCGCATCAGTTTCCGCGTTGACACATTTCATTCACGATTTCATGGAGCGCCACAAATCATCCGCTCCGCTAATTTCATTAAACCAAATGTGCATCCTGTGTTTCCCACACCAGACCAGCACAAGTCTAAATTAGAATAAATAACCTTCTTATGATCAGAGGACTCGTTAAGCTTAATTGAGTTGGGGTTAATAAACCCAGTTATCTTTGCGTTGCTTCTTAGTTGATCTATTTGTCATCATTATGATGATGAAATGTGACAACCATAAAGCAGCATTAGAGAAATAAAAAGCATATTTTTAAGTGGGCTTCGTAAACAACAGCTGTATGTATTTATTGCCCACTTAGCCCTCAAAAGGATTTTTTACAACACAGCCTGATATTTTTGTGGGTCATTTTCACAGATCTGTGAACTGTTCACACATGACATGAGAGAAAATGCCAATTATACTGTTTGTTTGTAAAAGGGAAATCTGTGGCTATTCAAAAATTAAAAAAAAAATAAAATAAAATCACCAATTTTCTTTTTTTCCCCCTTTCCTCCAAGAATTACATGATCCCACTGAGGCAAGTCTTGAGTCCACAGGACATGGAGGCTATCTTTGTAAACCTGGAGGTGAGTAACCACTCTACGAGACAACATAATGCCAGTGCAGCACACCTGGATGCGTTTCACACCAAGCGAATAACTCGATATGTGTATGGATGGCTGAAAGAATGATGGGATCTGTTGTTTATATTTACTGTATATTAAGGGTGCAAAGCTGTGAAAATTCATGCTTTGCTTTGGGCTGAGTGTGTTGTCATTGCTCAGTGTTTTCATCACGGCCAGAGTAGAAAACAGTCAACATTCCTTCCGAGAAAATATGCCTCATTGGTGTAAAATACCACCACGCACTCTGGACTACATGTGGTACAGAGTTGCATTAAATTATGTTAATGAGTCACACTGTTTTGCTGACCTGTAACAAACAAAGCAGCAGTAGTTTATTTGAGTCTCTCCTATAATGAGTATTTATAGTTTAATTTGGCCCTGAACTGTAAATACTCATTGTGTTTGTTTTAATGTGTGTCACAGTATTGCCCAGCTTCTCCCAGGTTTATGCATTATGTCTGAGAGCTGCAGACTGCTTATGGAGATTTGAAAGTGGTGATAAAGTAGCAGGAATTCATACTTGCTTGTTCACGAGAAATGTTGAATAATCTTGGGTTATAAAATATATTAAATAACTGTAATATGCTATAAATGTTTAGCCACCTTTGTGAAAAAGGTCTATACTGCTGATCTCCTCTGTTCTCTTTTTCTGGGACATAGAAGCCACATAGACACACAGCTTTCTGGCAATTAGGCAACATAACCTAAATAGCAAAGATGATCACATTCAGAAGGAGTGTGTTCTCCGTCTCTCCTAAAAATACAACTTCTCAACTATATCTTCACTTAGCAATCTGAACTAATTAGAGTTTAATAAAGAGGGCAACAATGTGTACTAAATGTTTCAAGATGAGTTCTTGTATCAGTTAATTAAACTTTATTTGCACCTTTCATCCTGGTTGCACTTTGAAGTGCTTCACACAGGACCAAATAGCTGAAAATCAGACAGAGCATTAATGCAAATATCTAATCAGCCACTCAGATGGCAGTATCCCAGCACATTAAGGCATGTAGACACGGTCAAGACCTGCCGAAGTTTAAGTAGAGCACCAGGGGCTGAAAGGTGATTTAATGGACTTTCAATGTGGTATTGCCATTAGCTGCAGGACTGGTTGGTCTTGGTATTTTAGACACTGCTTATTTGGTGGGCTTTTTTCCACACACAACCATCTCTAGGGTTTACAGAGAATATTCTGAAAAAGAGAAAATATCCAGCAAGCAGCAGTTGCCTGTGAGAAAGTGCCTTGTTCATACCAGAGGTCAGAAGAGAATGTCCAGGCTGCTTCAAGCTGAGCAAGGCAACAGTAAATCAAATAGCCACTCGTAATAACCAATAAATGCTGAGGAGCACCTCCGAATACAATGAACCTTGAAAAAAGATCAGTTACTGTAATAAAGCTACAATTTGCACAGCCTCACTACATTTTCTATAGTACAAGACTGGAAAAGTTGTCCGGTCTGATGAGTCTCAATTTCAGCTACAACATTTGGATTGTAGGATCATAAACAACATGAAACCATGGATCCGTCCAGCCTTGTATCAATGTTTCAGGCTGGGGGTGATGATGAAATTCTACTTTCTTTTTATTGTTATTTTTCCTTTAGGATGTGATCAAAGTCCACTTTGCTCTCTTGCGAGCCATTGAAATGAACATGGTCAGTGGAGGAAGCGGCCTGGGGAAGATATTTCTCGACTTCAAAGAAAGGTTGGTATCCAGACATTGCTGCGTTGTGTTTGTTCATAGACATCCTGTGCTTTTCTGTGTTCTGTGCATCGGGTGTTAAAATCCACTTATAGTTTAGAAGCTGTGGCATTTTCTGCCTTTACTTTCAAATTTAGGAAGCAGCATCAAGTTGAGGATCCACGGATCAGTGGATTGAAGGGATTAGTGTTCAAGGAAGAAGTCGATTAAAATGAACCGGTTTAATGAAAAAGCTGAGAGAGCATGTACACCATTGTTGTCCATCAGAGTGTTTACTCAAAGCATTGCATTAGCTTGTCAAAATTATATTCCTTTATATTAGTCTTTCCACTTATTCCACCACCATCTATCTATTTTACCCACGTATTAGCTGTTCTGTGATTTCTACTGTCAGGTGCTCAGGATATATATTCACATTTTAAAAACAACAGAGCTGAAAACTGCCTAAACATTTAACAAATATCTTAATAAATGAATATCTGTTAGAAGCTAATCATAAACAAATTCCCAAGGGCAGTAAAAATAATTTTCTCTGTTTCTGAAAATAGGTCTCAGTCAGTATTCAGAGCTGTTGCCAAATATCTCATTGTTTCACTTGGTTTAATAAATAATGTTTTACAAATTAATACGGAAATGACTTGATGAGAAGGTGTTTCCAGCAGTGTGGAGATTATGAAACCCAGTGAACAGTTAAAGCTGGGGGTTATTGGCAAACTGGATTTTCTCTCAGATGATCTCAATCTCGCCCAGCTGTGGAGCAACGTGTGGATAATTTGCATCCCTGAGGGGAGCAATGATCCCCGCTAAGGCGACTGCTTCATAGCTAATGGTAATGATGATAGCTTCTGGTCTCATTTATGATTCCATACAGTGCTATGGATGTGGCACTCTTGCGAATAACACAGCCATTACGGCGTGAAAGCGAGTCACACAATGCACCGCATGTGTTACCTGTCCCTGCATCCATAAGTACATTTTCTATTCCTCTGCACAGTGATAGCACAGATACTTTTCCCTCCTCTCTGATGCTTTTAACCGAAAACATTCACAGCACTTCTCTGGGTGACATCAGTTTGCATAGGTAATAGGCTTTTTTGGGGCCTCTTCTTTAAGCCTTAAGGGACCATGTAACATAAAGTCGGTTTGACATAAGGGACTGTATTCCTGTTGACAGAGGCACATACTGTCTCCCTCAGCCTCATACATGCATCCACAGTCTTACTGTTTCTCCATCCTCATTAAGCTCATCTTACTCCCTGGTCTGATTCAGCAGTGGTAGGACAACTTAATCTGGCCATAGGTCACTAAAGGACAAGGGGAGGTTGTCACGTGATCAGACGTTTGTAGAGGCACGTAGAGGTGTTTTAAAAGTACAGGAAGGGAAGTCCCATTGGAAACATCTGTAGTTACACCAATTGTATTGTTTACTGAGGAAATGTGGTTTAAGTTTCTTGTTTTTATATATACCTATATATCCATATATATATATTTTCCATCTGTATCAATACTGGATAATATACTATATAATAATATACTGGAAGAAGAAGAATCTACATCTTTATGAACACGCCTGCAGGCTTGTCCTACCCATTAAAGTGCCTGTAACACTGGTCACTGTAAGATGATAAGTCTCACAGTCAGAATTACAGTTTATTGTAAAAGTGTTGGATGGAACATTGGGCAGGCGAGTCAATTTATTTCACACAAGACTGGGAAGAAATCAACCTGTCTGTACACGCTATGCTGTATGATGGACAATGTTGTGCTGAAGCAAAGAGCTCCATGACACAAAAATCAAATGTTGCTCTACACTAAGATTTCCACTCTTTTGAACAAACAGAATGGGATTAAAGGGGCACATACAGTGCTGTAAAAATTAAATTTAGTTCAATGTTATTTAAACTGGATCACTATATAAACACATTTTATTTATATAAAACCAAGTCAAAGCGAAGGACCTTATTTTGTAGGACCTTGCAAGACCTTGCAATAATACAGAGAAAACCCCAACAATTAGACGAACCCTTTTGAGCAAGCACTTGGCAACGGTGGGAAGCAAAAACTCCCTTTTAACCAGAAGAAACCTCTGGCAGAACCAGGCTCAGGGAGAGGCACCCTTTTGCCAAGATAGGTTGGATATGTATTTGCCCCCTTGCTGATTTCTTTTTTAATTTTTTTGTATAATGGTCACACTAAAATGTTTAAATCATTAAACTAATTTAAGGGAACAAGGAAAAAAATATCTAAATCTACCTGGCCCTTTGTGAAAAAGTAATGTCGTCTTGTTACATCTGGCATAAAACTATCCATCCATCCATCCATCTTCATCCGCTTTATCCGGGGCCGGGTCGCGGGGGCAGCAGCCTAAGCA